AAACGCCTATCTCTTGTTGTTGCACTTTGAAAAGGACGGTGTTTTCGAAGAGGTTAGGAGCAAGAATCCCGACTTGCAGTACACAGATGACGCGGTATGGATAGGTGAGTTGAAAGGAGGTGGATGTAGATGGTGCCTTCCATTGTCGTTGATGATGCTCAGGTTTTACTAAGAGCCGCCGTGACTCGTACATTATTCTCGACGACTGGTTTCGGAAGAAGAAGGATATCAAAGCGGTAAGCCGAAAAAATGCGTGATTTAGTCCGTTTGAGGTGTTTTTTCACGCACGTTGTTGTAGGTGGACCCGAGAGTTTATCGTCAGTGGTTGGATACTCGGGAGGAGGTGGAACCAGAGCCGAAGCCGAAATCAAGTAGTAGCCCTTGGCACGAGGTCTGCTGGGGGCACGGAGCGTTTTAGGTAAGTCTTCCATTCCGACCACACCCTTGAGCGGAGCTAGTATGGTCAACCACCATCCGTCTATTACCTTCGACTCCTTCAAGAAAGCGGAAGAATTAGGGAAGCAGGCCGCACAGCTTGACGGCGATACTGGGGTGAGGACGCAGGCTTGGATATTTAATAATGCCTTCACCGGGGATCGAACCTGCGCACTGACCGTCTCCATTTTTAGACTCCAGCCAGTGGACGGCGGAAGCGTAATTCAGTGATCGAGGCTGAGCAGAGGATGCAGCTGCAGGCCCAGCATAAGGAGTTGAATAAGAAACTACGGCAAGAGGTACAACAACAACGAAGCGAGGCGAAGAAGAGGAAATCTAGTACGAATGCTGGCCACAGTGTCCGCTCCACATCCCCGGTCGTTTTTCAGCTGTTGCATCACAATCGTCTACTCCAGTCAGCAACATGGTCGCGGCCGCAGTAGAAGGCCCTGAGGCGGAGAAGAATACTCCGGTGGAGACCCCACCGAGGAAGAAGAGGGGACGGCCACCTAAGAATGCTGCCTCGTCTTCTACTGCCAAGCGGAGGAAGACTGAGAGTCCGTCGATGGAGCCGGTAGCAGCAGTAGAACCAAAGACACCAGTGAAGAAAAGTAGGTGTGCTCATGTTCTGTTTGAATTGGTAGTGAATTCCCACAGGTGTTATTGTTGCAGAGAATACAGAGTCGGCAAGCAGCGGTAGTCCTCCACCACCATCCACGCCTGGAGGAAGCGATGAGGAAGGGAGCGCCAGACGGCATAGTAGACGGCGTCGGGGGCACATGGATGCCGCTGAGGCCTATAGGTTAGCTGCCTGCCAGGGACTGGTAGATAC